CAGTCACAATAACCAAAACATTAAAAGAACATAGAAAAATATTTTAAAACTGCAAAGGGAAAAGAAAAAAAAAACACATAAAAACAGACCTATTAGAATGACATCTGACTTCTCAATGGAGACTATGGTGGTTTGAAAGAAAATGGCCCCCAAAGGGAGTGGTACTACTAGGAGGTGTGGCTTTGTTGGAGTGGGTGTGGTCTTATTAGAAGAGGTGTGTCACTGTGGAGATGGGCTTTAGGGGTTCATATGTGCTAAGCCACGCCCAGTGAAATAGTATACTTCCTGTTGCCTGCATATCAACATGTAACAGCTCCTTCTCCAGCACCATGTCTCTTTGAATGCTGCCATGCTCCCCCCCCCATGATCATATTGAACTAAACCTCTAAAAAACTGTAAGCTGCAACCTCAATGAAATCTTTTTTTTTTTTTTTTTTTTTTTGTAAGAGTTGCTATGGTCATGGTGTCTCTTCACTGCAATAGAAACCCTAACTAAGACAGAGACTCAAAAAGCCAAAAGGGCCTAGACAGATGCTCCATGGACATGGGCCCAGACTACTATACCCAGCAAAAGTTTTAATTCAATAGATGGAGAAAATAAGTCATTCCACAATAAAATCAAATCAAGCAATGTCTATCGATAAACCCAGCCTTACAGAAGGTGCTAGAAGGAAAACTTCAATCTAAAAAGGTTAACTATACACAAGGAAACACAATAAATAAATAACCCCAGAAAAAGAAAGCACACACAACAATATAATAATATAGAAAGCTACAGGGCTAAGATAAGACTAGCAAGACAGGGCTGGTTTTCAGCAGCCACAGGGAAACTGCAGTACCAAAGTCAAACACCAGAGGGAACCAGAATTTGAGCACCTGACAGAGCCACAATTCCCTCTAACAGGGAATTTGCAATACAACACACACACACACACACACACACACACACAACCATGAAAGATTTTATGGAAAGAAAACAGGTGTAGCTATTCAGGCATATATGACAATGATATATACATATGTACTGGACATAAGAACACATATTATAAAAATCAAATACTGACAGAGCTAACAGGAAAAACAGTTACACGATAGTAGAATTCAATTACCCCATTTCATTTTAATACACATACATATCAGACATTGGCTGTTTCTTCAATAAACAGTCCTACTATATAATCCAAAAGCTATGCTTGCCCTACCTATTACCCAATTATTCTGTTTACATCAGCTTTATTCACAATTTTGACAAGAAAAAAATATTATAGTGAAACATCACAGATTAAAAGGGAAATGATCAAGCCATGAACAGGTAAGGTGGAAACACCTGTTGCTATGTGACTTGACCACATGCTACATGACTCCATATGACACTCTGAAAAACTCGGCAGCCATCAGAAATTCTTTGGATGGAGAGGAATGAGCAGGTAAAGATGGGCTTTTCATGGTGTTGAACTACTTACTCTACATGGTTGCCTTAGTTAGGGCTTCTATTGCTACAATGAAGCACCATGACCAAAAAGTAAACTGGGGAGGAAAGGGTGTATTGCACTTATATTTCAGCAATGATGTGCATCACTGAAGAAAGTCAGGGCAAGAATTCAAATATGGCAGAATCCCAGAGGCAAGAGCTGATGCAGAGGCCATGGAGGGGAGCTGCTTACTAATTTGCTCAGCCCACCGTCTTATAGACCAACAGACCAGAGATGGTACCACCCACCATGGGCTACATCCTCCCCCACGATCGCTGAATGAGAAAATGCCTTACACCTGTATCTCACTGACATATTTCTTCAACCTAGGCTCTTTCCTCTCTGATGACTCTACCCTGTGTCAAATTGACCTATTCAACAACAGAGTTGGACATCAGAATGGAGTCATTAGCCTAATGTAGACACACATGATTATATAAAGAAAAGGTTATAGATGTGTGTATTGCACAGGATAGGATAGACACACATATTCTTTGTTCTGGCTGTTCTGTGAAAGCCTAAAAGACACAGCTCGAAGTATTAGTGAGCACAGCATATCTCACTTGGCTTCTAATATCCATCTTCAATAAAAAGATCCTGGGCTTCTTGGAGAATCAGCTGATTCTAGGATTGGGCAGGAAATATTAGATAGGATCTGGAGATATGGGAAAGAGGTTGAAAGTACTGGCTCCTCTTCCTAAGGACCAGGGTTCAATTCACAGCACCCAGGTGGCAGCTCATAGCTGTCTGTAACTCTAGTTCTTGGGATCTGACATTATCTTCTGGTCCCTCCAGGCACCAGGTATGCACATGACAACAAGTCATACATGCAGGCAAAACACACAGAGAAAATAAAAAGAAATACATCTTCTATTATAAAGAAATGTTATACAAAGAGGATCCTAGAATTCCTTGTGCAGCCAGAAAGTAGAGCAATGCCTTTTCAAAGCAAAAAAGTAAAAACTAAAACTGCTTACCCATCAAAAATATCCCACCACGCTGACACAAATGTGTCAAAGGGACACAGGAACCAACGAAAAGAACATCCCTTGGACAGAGCTAAAATAATGTCAGTAATAAAACAATGTGGAATTACCTCCTAAAGCACAAAAGAGATACCCACAAGTCTATGGCATAAAAGGCAAAATAATATATGGGAGAAAACACTGTGAATTTCTCAACCATGTAGAGAGGATCACCCCACCCCTACTCCCCACTCTAGCCCAGGTTGAAGAGTCATGTCCAGCCACAGAGAAAAGCCCAGAATGAGAAAAACGGAAAGTCACGTCACCGTGAGAAAGACCAACAGGCATTACCTTCCCCAGGTGATGACAATCAGCATCAGGTCACAAAGGTCACAAATCATGTGACAAATGACACTTTGGCTTTGCAATCTTCTCTCCTGAAACTGGTAACTCCAGTCTAACTATGAGAAAAGCACCATTAAGTTCCTATAAGGGTCACACACATTCCTCTACAGAATCAAGATCTTTAGAAACAAAAGAAGTCTGAGGAAAAAGCAGCAAAGAAAACCTAAAAAGATATATACCACATTATTTTGGATGAAAAAACAAGATGAAGGAGGGCAGATAAAATCTTAAATCCAGATAACCTAAAAACTTAGCTAACAGAAATGTTTTAGTTCCTCACAAGTGCCATATACTGCTGGTCAGCAGTGGCTCACGCCTTTAATCCCAGCACCCAGGAGGCAGAAGCGGGAGGATCACTGTGAGTTTAAGGCCAGCCTGGTCTACAGAGTGAGTTCCAGGACAGCCAGGGCTGTTACACAGAGAAACCCTGTCTCAAAAAAAACCTTAAAAAAGAAAGAAAGAAAGAAAGGAAGGAAGGAAGGAAGGAAGGAAGGAAGGAAGGAAGGAAGGAAAGAAAGAGTGCCCTATACAAGCATAACTACTTAAGAGGAGAAAATACTGACCATTTGGAAATTCTCTACTGACCTCTTAACCTTTCTAAGTCTAAAGCTGCTCTCTGAAATCAGTAAGATCTCCTTACAGGAAAGAGAAAAAGATCACATCTGAAGTCCTTGCATTGGAAAGGAACTGTTAAAACAACACTAAGAAAACAAAAACTGAATTCACCTTAAAAGCTGGCCATAGATCTGAATGGAGTCCATGAGGTGTACAGACATCAGAAGGTGTTGAGAGATGGACAAGGCTGGACATTAGTGACTGTTGAAATCACAGTGAGACCCTATCACGTGCACAACAAAATAGCTAAAATTAGGAAGACTGGCCACATGAAGTATTGGTAAGGTGGATCAGAACGTTCCTACACACACTGGTAGGAATGGGAAACAGGTTAAAAAGAAAAAGAAAAAAAAAAAAAAAAACCCTCTGAAAAAACAGTGGTAGTATCTTAAAAACATAAGCCTATCACATGACCAAACTATGTCCCTCCAAAAATACCATTTGTCCATAATAAGATATGCATACAAATGCTCATAGCCTTCTCTGTACTATAATGGACAGTCCTCCAGGACTATCCTCTGTACTATAATGAACAAATGTTGAAACCACCAAAATGCTATCAAACATGATGCTTCTTAACAATAAAAAGGAACAAAGTACTCATGTGTGCATTAGAAATAAAACTCAAAATAAAGCTAATGCTGGGCATGCTGGCTCATACCAGTAACCCTAGTACTTGGAAAACAAAAGCCAGATGACTGTCATTAAGTTCAAGGCCCAGGCTGGTCTACATAGTTGAATTCTAGGCCAGCCTGGGCAAAAGTATAAGGCACTGTCCAAAAAACAAACAAACATACTGGAAAAAGCCAGCCATGAGTAGTTTTATTGTTTTAGAGGTCTCAGTGGTAAAGCACACTGCCCTACACACATCACCAACAGTAAAGAAAAACAGAATACTGTATGATCCCTTTCCAGTAATCTGTGGTGACTGAAGCACACAGGTGGGGACCTGCAGGGCCCAAGACAGACACAGAGGACAAGAGAAAGCCTGCAGGTGAGATCATATTCAGTACTTTGACCATGGTGCTTTCATGAGTATCTGTCAGTCAAAATGTCCCAAACTGACACTTTGAATAAGGGCATGAGAGAGCATGTCAATCAAACCTCAAGGAAGATGAAACAGGCTGCTGGAGCCACGTGTGTGAGGGGGAGAACAAAGTATTTCCTTGTAAAGGGGCTAGACTGAAAGCAAGGGTATAATCCAGACACCACAGGACCAGGCCTCCTGGTGCACTGCTCCACAAACGCTCCATTCTGACTAAGGAACTTGCCTAAGAAGTAATCAACAACCACATGGAGCACACCATTTGCGTACACTTTCCACACCCCAAGTTTCTCAAAGAAAAAGGAGTACACTAAGGAACGTTCTGTCCCAAGCTCCTGCTCTACCATAGCCCACAGAGCAGCACTCGATACACAGCCTTGTCTGAGCCTGCCTGCAGCTGTGTGAAGAGCAGTATCATCATTGCTCTGAACTGTTAACAGCAGCGATCAGTTAATTACACACCAACCACTGAGGTATGAAATCAAGAGCACATAAGGATAAAACCAGACACTTTATTTGTTCAGAATGCTCATTTTTAAAGTTAGCTGAGATGAAAAAACGGTTTATATTACAATTAATTTGTGACCATACAAATTCCATATTAAGAACAAACAAAAACGAACTTGCATGTGAGTAACAACATGTACATCGCACCATCAGTGACAGCTTTCTTACAACTTAAAAACCTTTTCTTTGAAACATGGAAAGATAGGAGACCCCTAGTGAGTTCCATATGCAGCTGATAGGTGCTTTAAAACACTTTCCCATATCACAAATTATACAGTCTTAATATTGGCATTGAAATAAAACGAAACAATCATATCATTGTTGACTTCAGCTTTTCACCTTTCATTTTACATATTCCCTATCAGCCACACAGTTTCCTGTTCTTTAGGGTGCTGACAGGTCTTCATCTCTGTCAGCTCAGCATTGCTCCTGCTGTAGCATCCACCCTCGGACACATCCTTCGCTTTGCCATGTAGCAGCAGTGAAATCTGGTAGTGTTGAAATTCACTATTTCCAGTTATTTTAACTGCAGGACCACCTTAAAACACAAATAGGGAGAAGAGGCATCAGGTTAGATATAATGAAGCTGCTTCTGCTAGATAAACCCTGAACACAGCTATGAAGAGCAACAGGCAAATGAAGGCAGGTTCCTGCCTGCCAAGATCCCTGCTCAGTTACTCAGCACTGGTACCACACCCACTTCTCACGGGCAACTTCATCCGAAGGCCACCAGGCTTCCTTACTGGACATTAGGATCAATCGAGAAGGCAAAATTAAAATGTGAGCAACTGTGGAGAATACTAGAAGGTGACACTTATTGGGGCTTAAAAGGGACGGAGGATCTAGGAGACCTAGAGCAGCCAGGAAGATGGCCGAGAAAACCTGGGAGCGAAGGCCTGCGACTAGCCCTCGAGAAAAGCTGCTCGATAACATGCAAACACTGACAATGACAGTCACCTGCCGGCTTCCTCACAGTCAGTTCCTGCTGTTTAAACACTGTCTTCTCACATACTACACACCGGGACTGGCTGCTAGAGTTCAGACACAACTGCAAATGTGAGGATGTGCAGCGTCAGCCCATCCTAGCCCATCTCAACTTGATTTTTCTGTAACAACAGTTACATTTCATCTGCCACACTGGGAAGGAACATTACAAAGGCAACTGTGTAACATCTGTCCATCCAAATAAGACATTTATTTTTGAGAATCAGGAAGATTTTAATTAGAGAAACCTGAGAATCAACTAATATCATGGTCTCTAGGGTAAAAATTTCGTTTTTAAGCTTAATGAATACTGAAAGAAAACAAAAACTATGGTTGTAACAGCACTGCTTCTGTTTCAGGAATAACTAGATAATTAATTCAGAACTTGGTAATTGAACACTGTAAGTTGTAATTAACTCAGCATTTAAAGTAGAGGTCAGAACATCCCAAAGAAGTATTTTCTGTGTTTGATAATACGTATCAGGAAAATGAGATACATTAAAACCCCTCCAGGGAGTGAGAGCAAAGGGGTCAAGACCAGGCTGGAGAAACCCATGGAAACTGCTGACCTGAACAAGGGGGAGCTCATGGACTCCAGTCTGATAGCTGGGAAACCAGCATAGGACTGACCCAGATGCCCTGAATGTGGGAGGACTGGGCAGTCTATGGGGCCTCTGGTAGTGAGTGGATCAGTAGCTATCCCTACCCTAGGACACAAAAGGACTTTGGGAGCCCATTCCACATAGTGGGATGCTCCCTCAGCCTAGGCACATGGGGGAGGGCCTGGGCCTGCTTCAAATGATATGACAGACTTTGAAGACTCCCCATGGAAGACCTCACCCTCCCTGGGGAGCAGAAAGGGGATTGGAATGGGGTTGGTGGGAGGACAGGAGGGTGTAGGAACTGGGATTGATATGTAAAACCAGCTCCAGAATTCAAAGGTCTGCTGATACTTGCAATTCAAGCACACACCTTATTAGCTGCCTCCAAGGAACTGATTAGACTCTGCAGCTCCTCTTTACTCATTTCAATAGAGTATGGTTTCACTTCACCATTCTCCTTCACATCCAAGTGAAGGTTTAAAAGTGGCATCTGTAAAGTGGCGATCTTGTCACTTGAAAGCGCGAGCTGTTAAAATCGAGGAAGATGATAAACAGTAAGTCCAACTACACACAACAAGCATCAGAGTTGGCTAGAGCACATGGCCCGTCTGCCCGCAAATTCTGGGAAAAGGAGAGAGAGAAACACAATTCCAAAAACCAGGAAGAGAAAGGAAAGGTGACAACATACAAGAAGTGGGCAGGATGAAAGGAGGCAGCACTTTGTCAAAAAGCTGAATCACAGTCTGACTAAACAAAACGTTCTTTATTGTGCTCTATTAGAGGGACTCAGAAGTGATGAAAGTGCCCAATACAGCAAGAACCAAGCAGAATTATTAAAGAGGAGATTCCACGATGACAGTTCATGCATCAAAGACTACAATTATTCAGAAACTTAGAAATTAAGTGACTTAATTCATGATTGGCTATCAGACTGCTGATGACCACAATATCAAGATACTAACTGAAGGACATCTAGTCTTCTGAACATAACTATGGTATCTGCAGTTGGCCTTATCGTTGCCAGGCACATGGTCTCTAGTGTCTCAGTGAAATTTCACATTTTAAATTTTAATTTAATTTAAATTCCTGGTAGTTCTTCTCTGGCAGGGGTCCTATTTGTTTAAATATCTAAGTCTGGCAACCAAGACTAAGAGACTGTAAAGCTAACGAAAAAGACCGCATAGTTGAAAACAGCACCCACAGGTACCTTCCCCTGCTTGAAGGTACAGCACCTTTCCCAACAAAATGGAAGACTGAAGCCTAACAGCTGAGCCACAGTTTAAGAAGCAAAAATAACCAAATGTCCTACATGAATGCTATACTAGCAACTCTCCCCTACCATCCATATTTACATTAATATTAAATGTTTATTTAAATGAAAACCTTTTATTTAGTTTATCACTGGTTAATTTGCTTTTTATCATTTGGTCCATCAGTATAACAAGTATTGAGTATTTCCTATACTTAAGTATTATGTCTATATAATAAGCATGTTAAAAAAAGAATCTTAAACATGGTTGAGTCACAGTGAGAGCCACAAAACCCATTTCACAACTGAGACAACTTTGTCTACAAGAGGCGATTTCTACAGTTATGAGCCTACCTTACCAATTTTCCCAACTTTCAACTTCTTAATCAAAAAAAACAACAGGAAGCACTTTCTAGATCTAAGACCAGGCTAACTAAACTCGAATCAGGACATATCTGTTTTCTGTCTACTAATCTGGTACCTTAAAAGAATAGAAAGTTGTTCTGAAACTGTTCCCTCTCTGCTCAGCACAGTGCTATATGACACACAGTGTCCTCTTACGCATAGTGCTATATGACACACAGTGTCCTCCTAGAAGTAAAATAGTATGTAGCAATTTTGGAAAGCATCTAGAAGACTCTTGCCAAAGTTATATGCTATATACACACTTCTTCATGTCTGATTGATAGGTCTAGGAAAATTCATTAACAGTACAATGGCACCACACATGGTCTGGTTGCTTTGAATGTTCTTGCTGTCCAAATTAATACAAATCCAGTAACTTATATGAGCTTTGCTATTACCTTGGAACAGTATAGCCTCAAAATAACAAATTTTAGAAATTTTAATTTAAAAGAATAAATCTAACCAACCAGATTCTTACCTTTAACTGCCAATCAAAATCCTGTAGCTGTGCACAAGAAATATCAACTATTTCTCCCAACAAGGCCTGCTTGATCTCATTTTTCCTGCTCTTTAAGCACTTCATAACTGCTTCTTGATGACATGAATTCAGTTGGTTCAATTGCTGGAGTGTCTGAAAATGCACACCAATGGTTAGGAGAGTGAATGGGACCACCTGCTTCAAATGTAAAAAAAAAAAAAAGTGCCCATTCTTTTCCCACACACTTCTTTAAAAAATGACAGTATATGAAAAAGTAATACTTTAATAACTAGGAAAGCATAAGCTGAGAATGAGTAACCCTGACAGATCTTAATAAGTTCCTGCCAGCCAGATACAGCCCAATAATCTAGAGATTCAGTGCAATCCACACTAAAATCCAAGTTTTCTACAGTTGACAAGATGATTCTAAAGTATATCCGAAGACAAGCAAGGAGAGCCAAAGCAACCTTGAGGAAAAATGATGCTGAAGGTCTTGTACCAGCTGATATCAAGAACTAATGTAGCATATCTTTAATGCCGTGGTAATTAAAACAGTATAGAAATGAAAAAGGCCACCACAGAGACTAATAGAATCCAACCAAGAGTCTGAAGAAAATCCCCACACATGACCACATGATTTATTACCAAGGCTGACAGTAGTCTTGTGAGGCAAGGACAGTCATTCCAATAGATGGCTCACATTCAATGGGCTACTATGCAGAAGAAACTGAGACGGCCCCTGCCCCACACAAAAGTATTAATTCAAAACATCTGAGAGAAGATTACAGAAGCTAAAACAATCAAGCCTCCACATGATACCCTACAAAGATACCTTCCTATTTCCCAAATGTGACACGGATAATACTAAGCACTGCACCAAGAAATACTGGGAAACTGGATTTCATTAACTTCAGAACTTCTATTCAGCAAAAGCCCCACTAAGAGAGCGAAAAAGCAAGGGATGTAACAGATGATAACTAGAGTCAAAGAAATGCATATCTACAATACCATCCAAGTCACCATGACAAATACATAGAACTCCATTTGTTAAAGTAAATAATTCATAAATTTGCACAAATAATTCTTGACAAAGTTGAAGAAGCCACGCCCCATGAGATCCAATGTTACTGATCTAATCCCAGCGACCAAGCTGGTTGCTTTCTTTTGTATACTTTAAACCTGTTTCAGTGGGGGATGGGGGGAGAAACCAACTAAAACAAAACTGCAAAGACTCTAAAACTTTAATTCAAACTTCCACTCACTCAAAATTAGATGTTTCAGTTGCTGTATCATGTATTCAGTACCTACTGAAGACCTGCTTGGCTCCCTCCCCTAGAAGCAATGTAAAAAACTCTAGGCAGTTTTTTTTTTTTCGGGTAAAGAAACCTGAAGTGAAGTTACCTCTTCATCTGAAAAGTTTTTGCCAACTACAGCTTTGAAAAACATGCTCACATCTTCCAGAACGAGCTTCCATTCAGTCAAATCCCAAACGTTGTGATAATCATGGTGGGCAGGGTAAGCTCGACCACACATGCCATCAATTATTTTGTGAAGAAGCTAGGGAGAAAAAGGAAATAAAAAGTACTTTAAAGTAAATGACAAGATGGATTTCCCTTCCTTGCAGAACTGCCCCCTTTTATAAAGCCCACTGAGACAGAAAGGTAACAATTTTTGAGATTTATTATTGGGTTTTTAAATTTTTTTTCATATTGTTTGGTTATTTGGGGGATTTTTTGTTTGTTGTTGTCGTTGTTGTTGTTTTAGTTTTGGTGATGCTGTTTGAGACAAGGTCTCATTCCTATAGTCTAGGTTGGTCTCAAACATATGGCAATCCTCCTGCTTCAGCCTCCCAAGTGCTGGGGTTACAAGTATAAGCTACCAAACCCAGCTAAATTACGATGTCTTTTAGAAACTAAAATAATATTAAAGATACACTGTTGTTTTTTCCAGAAATCCTGAACAGAAAATGAACGGTACATTTAAAAGTTTCCTGCAGGGTCCCAGGGCATCAGTTTTAGACCAATTAACCAAACATAGTTTGACTTTCACATCATAGCCTCCCACTGAAGCTCTACTAACCCAACTCTGCTTTGCCTCCACTCACATCCCTATTCACTCTGTGTTGCTCAGAGAAGGCCGTGGCCATGCTTTCCTCTTCTACGTTCCCTCCCATCTACACCACCAGTGACAGGAATCATGTCACCTTAACAAAACATGAAGACTGAATTTGAGACAGAGCTGGCTAGTATGCCTCCCTGTTCCATTAACTCCTAGTTTTATTTAAATTTTCTGCAATTCAAGTATAAGAGAAAAATGTCATCTGCCCACCTAATGTTGTAAGGGTATGTCAGAAACTCGACCACGCTAGGCTGGTACAGAGCATCCGAAGATCAGGGGTCTGCTTTGTCATTGTTCCTAACGCTGGTACCACTACTCCCACAATTCAAGCCTTCAGTGTTTACAGAGTATATATCGGACCACTACCACAGAGAATCATATTCACGTGGTACTGCTCAAGTCACATTTGTATCCTGCAAACAGAGCATCTACATCCAAGTAACTGGGAAGTAGTATTTAGCTAAAAGGCTTTGGACACCAATGTCTTAGATCTTAATCCACACAATGGTAAATAGTTAACTCCCCACTGCTACACCACACTAATGAGTACCAGACCCATCTGCACACACTAGGTAATGCGCAGTAAAGCTCTATGTTTATTCATCCCAAGCTTTTACATGTATTTCTTCTCCCATAATGTCCTATGATAAAATAACACCAAGAACTCAAACAAAAAAAAAAAAACCTGTAAATTTCAGCCTAACTATATAATCAACAGTTCACTGCTTTTATTATATAGAATGAGAATACAAAAAAAAAAAAAAAAAACACATCTAATAGCTACCATTCTCAATGAACCCCTACCTAAGTACCAAGCACTATTCTCGTACACCATCCAACTCTGTGAGGTAAGCATTGTGACTGTTCTCATTTTACAAGTGAGGAAACTGGGGGGTAAGTAATGCTCTATCATAACAGAGCTCAAGTCTATTACCTCCTCCAAATACATACATAAATAAAGGATGTGACATGGGAGAGTGGATATGAAAGATGTTCCTAGTGAGGACAAAGAAGCAAAAATGGGGCTTTGCTAAAAGGTGAGTAGCTGGCAGGCATTCCCAGCCACAAGCAAGGAGCACACACAGGATTGAAACTAAAACCACACTGCAGGTTTGGGAACTGCAGCTAACGAGAGGTAGGGAAGGATGAAAGGGCACAAGACCTTTGAAAAGGAGAGTAAGAATCAAGACCTCCCATACAACAGAAACAAGCCAAGGCAACGGGTGCTCAACTTGCATTGAGTGTTTACATGATTTTTCCACGACTTTGCCAAGATATTAGAAAAGGAAGAAAGAGTGTGAGACTAAGAGATTGTGGGGGGCTATATACAGCAGAGACAGTGAATAGGTAAAGAAAGTTGGAAGGGGGGAGTCCAAGGAGGATTTCCTAAATAGAGAGGCTGGGCAAGGAGGGTGGTGCCACCAAAACAAAACCAGGACAGGTAAGAACGTTAGCAGGAAAAGAGGAGCTGAACCCCCAAACAAGGGATTCTCCACAGCTGTGGCAGAAGGCAGAGGCTGGGGAGGAAGATGGCCAGATCCACTGGGGATGGACCGTAGTAAAGTTTTGGCATCTCTGTAAGGAACCACAGCAGGCGTGAAAGTTCAGAGACTTGGTCCACACATCAGAGCATAGGCTTTAGCTACGGCCCTGGCTAGCTGGAAACCACTAGCAAATAACTCAAATATGCGGCTGACATTTCACTGTTCTCCTTTGTAAAAATCAAAGAAAATGTTTATGATGCATTTTCTTGACAATGGAAAGAGTGAAATTCAGTTCTTTCAATCTCACCTACTTTATCGCCACTACAATCTGAGCAGAGTTTGGGAAGGAGGGCCACAATCCACTTAGAAAAGAAGCTTGGCATGGGCAAAGACTGGGTGCCACCACCAAACACTTCCACCGGAGCCTGACTGCAAGGAAAGCCTGGCTTTGTGAATTTGCTTTCAGCGGCTGCAATCACCTTTTGGCCACAATAAAAAGAGGCTGGTAGCCAGTTACTTTCTGGTTAGGAGTCGGTTTCAGCCGCCCTTTAGCAGACAGTTCCGCCAAGATTTCACCACATCCTCTGTCCCACATAGAAATGGGTGCGCAGGGGACGATCGGGAGGGCTGACCTCAAAGAATGAATGACCAAGGGCTCCGCCACCACAGCTTTCTAGATGCAAGAACCTACACGCTCCCAGGCCAGAGACACCCCCGGGTCTCGGGCAAATTCTCTGGGCAGCCACTCTGTCCCCAGAAACCCAGGACTAGACGTCCCAATGCCTCCCTCCCACACTCTCCCCGCAACCCCTCACCGGGGCGCCCTGCTCCGAAGGCAACTTCTGCAGCCGCCACAGCGGCGGCGTCTCGCCTTCCGCCTCCATCCCCGAGAACCAACGCCGGTCACATGACAGGCCCGCACCTTAGGCTTAAGCCAGGACTCGCCCACGTGACTTTTTAGAGGGCGGGGCCGAAGAGCGGACACAAAGTCCTCGTGCGCATGCGCAGAGCCTCAGCAGTGGCTTTCCCGGTAGACTGGGGAATGAGTCTTTCTCTCTTGGGAGGAAGTGCCTTATGTGTCTACTTACTATTTAAAGGAAGATTTACAGGCCTCAGCTCGATTGCTCAGAGACCGATCTCGTGATCTTTCTTCACTCTACAAGAAATCATCCCAGTAAGGGTAGCCTCAGCCTGTATTTGAGTGAGCCAATCTCTTACTAAAGGATTTTGACCTCAAAGGCAATTTAAAGTTAAATTCTTTGTCCTATGAAGATACTAGTTTGTTCCCCATTTGCAAACAACAAACGCGATCCAAAATGGAGCTCATAAAAAAAGGAAAGCATAGTTAAATGTGAAAATTCAAGTGAACGGCAAATATGTCCAAAATGTTGCATGACATATTCTTAAGCTAAAAGTGTCTTTGTTTTGTTTGTTTGTTTGTTTGTTTTTTAACCTGAAATTCCTACTTAACTGGGTCAGCTTTTGTCCACACCAGGACCTTGAGCAACTTGACCTTGATAAGGTTCTGGCCCAGGGCCTTGTCATGTCCCAACACTAGCTTAGCTGTACAGGACTTACCATCACCTCTCTGTCAAACAGCTAGAAGGCCTCCCTACATTCTAAAAGTGTGGTGTTCTTTTACCTTCGGCTAACCTTCTCTCTTTATTGGTGTCTCCCAAAAGGGCTGTCATTCCACTCGGCCAAAACAGAAAAAGCCATATCACTCAAAACCCATCCCAACTACTTCTGGTGTGTGTCTCTCTCTCCCAGATGCTTCTGATGCTCTATGGTTACTTTCTATCAACTAGTTGCTAACTTGGCCTCCTGAGCCAGGGTTATTTTCAGGATTCCCATTGTGATCAAGTATCCCCCAATAGTCTGGTCCTCCGTGAAGTCCCACATCTTGACCACTCAGGTCTTCGGGACTTTTCCCCTGAACATAATAGTGAGGATTTACCAACACTGTTAACAGCTACCAGCCAAATACACCACGAGGCTCCAACTAGCAACATGCACCTACTATACATGTCTGCTGATTCAGATTTACATGGGGGAAGGGAGAGGAGGTGAGAGGTAAGCAAGCTAATCAAGAGCTTTTCAACATATTACCACAACCAGATTAAATTAAAGAGTATAATTCTATTTGGTTCTGGTGGCACACTCCTTTAATGTCAACATTTGTGAGGCAGAGGCAGGTGGATCTTGCTGTGTTCATGGCAATACATAGTGAGTTCTAGGACATTCAAGGTTATTTAGAAAGACTCTGTCTCAGACAGACAGATCTGTAATTTCTAAGTTACATCTAAGGAGGTGGGACTATTTAAGGCAGCCTCTAGGGTGCTCTAATTCCCATCTATTACAGGAAAGGGCAGATCCATAACTTTCTGGGATCCCCAGTCTTAATTTTATTATTTCATCTGGAAAAGACTGACTCTTTACAGCTAAAAATAGACTGCCTGAGAAACCAGGGCAGACCAGGATTGGAATATTCCTCCCTGGGGTATGCCCTGATCAATAAACTCTTTAATGAGCTGAATTATAGGTCTGAATGGTGCTCAAAGAACATAAAACTGAATTAAATGGAACAGAATGGTGCCCGTGATGATTTGTTTTAAATTGGGATAGTTTGATGGCTGCTTCTACTCCAGGGATGCATCTGGATGAAGAAGAAAGCAAGTCATTCCTCTGTTACATAAAAAAGTTAGCTTCTTTGACTCTTCATCTCACTAGATGATACACCCTTGTGATTGCTTCAGAGAAACTCCTGGACAAGATTAAGGAAATAGCTAGAGCTTCCTGCTCTAGAAGAGTAGTCTGTATGTTACAATCCCTCATCAATAGAAGTAAAGTTTTAATGGTTTCAGAACATAGGTTTTGGCTTTCCCCAAACTCTGTGGCTTCATTCTTTTACTATCTGTGACCTGACATTAGCTACAGACAGGAGAGCTTCTGACAAAAATTCTAGAAACAAAGAGAAGATATTTAGTCTTTATTTTTTTAATTTAAAAGAATAATTAAAAAATAAAATTTTTAAAAACTGTGAGTTTCAGTATTTATATTCTTCATTCAAACCTGTCTTTCAGGTTCTGCTTGAAGAGATTTGTTCATCTTAATTAGATGTGTTGTAATACATATATAAAGCTAGCTGTAGTCTAAATAAAATAATTCCCATTCATAAACTAGGGAAAAGAAAGGGGCTTAAAGTTCAAAAATCATTTAATTATTCTCTCATAACAATATGAGAGATTATATTACATTGGCATTAGTTCTATTGCATTTGAGAGAAGTGTTTATGGCAAAGATAAGGAAGACACAGGGTTTTATCCTGTCTGTATAAATCTATACAGAGTTGGCCTCCTCTAAAAGCAGTTTCCTAGAAAGTCACCAGATGTGTGTATTATGTATCACTCCATTCCAGTAGGTGGGCTTAGTAAAATCCATCTGTCTTTGAAGAATTGATATGTAATTAAGGTTTGTTAACATTTCCTATTTCACTAGTTTTTGTTTTAAAATATAGCCTGGCCTGTTGGTGGTGGCATACACCTTTAATCCCAGCTCTTGGGAGGCAGAGGTGGGTGGATCCCTGTGAGTTTAAGGCCAGCCTGGTCTACAGAGTGAGTTCAAGGCCAGTCAGGACTGTTTCACAGAGAAACCCTGTCTTGAAAAAGAAAATTGTAAAATATTCTTGTAGTTTAAGGCACCTGAGATCTTGTCTAAAAAAGGTCTTTGAATAGGTACTTGGATGTTAAAAGGCTTCTGGAGATAGCACACTGTGGTTATTTCAGCGGAGCACTAAAGAAAGCAACTCTAGGATTTTAGACCTAGATCAAAGGATCACCAGCCTATAATTCACACCACCAGAGGATCTAGGATACAAGGTGTATTCTAAGAGATTCATATAAAGTCCCTCACAGAACTGGTAAGGGACAAGTCCCCCAGAACTCAGGGGAAGTGGGGAGGGGCAGCGAATGGAGAGAGAAGTAGGAGAAAACAAGGGGGAGGAAAGGAAAACATTTGCGACCAGGAAGATTGAGCCTGGTTAGGAACAGAAGACAGGAAAGAGAGAGAGAGACAAAGAGAGAGAGAACATAAAAGAGGGAGCCAACATTGGTTTGAAGATAAAATTGAACACAAAGGAAGTCTAGAGAACTACAAGAAAGATTGCTGCCAACTAACAATTTGAGCTTCCGTGGAAAGGCTACCATAAATGCCCCTCCTGGAGAGTAAGATCAACAACTAACTTATCCATGGAGCTCTCAACTAATGCCTGTTGGAAACAGGAGCAAACACCCATACATAAACACTGAGTCCAAGTAGAACCCAGATGGAGATGGAGAGGACAAGACCAGGCTGCAGAAACACATAGAGACAGCTTACCTGAACAAGGAGGAGCTAATGGGCCACCAGACTGATAGCTGGGAAGCCAGCATGGGACTGACTCAGGCCCCCCTGAATATGGGTCTCAGCCAGAAGGACTGAGCAGTCTAAGGGACCTCAGACCAGACAGTGGAGCCAGGATGTATCCCTGGTGCACAAAAGGACTTTGTGAACACATCCCCCATGGAGGGATAACTGCCTTAACCTAGAGACAGGAGAGAAGCCCTAGTCCCTACTTCACATGACCTGTCAGACCTACATGACCCCAACTGGATGGCATTCCCCTACATATGGAATTGTGGTGGGGGGATGGGAGGGGAGGGTGGTTAGAGTGCATGTGAGAGGGCAGAGAGGGTAAAAGGGAAGGAAGGAGGGAGGGAGGAAGGGAAAGGGAACTGGGATCGACATGTAAAATAATAAATTAAATTTTTTAAAAAAATGCTTTGACTCCAAAATTTAACTTCAAGGACAAGTTGCTGGGGAAAAGGATTTCTATTTTTGTTTCCACAGAAAATCAAAAGATGTGGATTCCTTTCAGACTAATGTGGTTTGATCAAGCCAGACCACCTGAAACAGAGTACCAGGTGATCCTACATTCAAAACAGCTGGACAAAGCAGCCTTACAGACTACAGCCAGGATTTCTGAATCTTCTTCAAATCCCCCATGACAGTGCCCCTTACCAGCAGGAAGTAGTTTGGAAAGAACAACTCCCAAATTCCCTAATATTGTCTATAAATGTTTGTTTTCATTTAAATGGACTTGGTATATAAAATAAATTAAAAAAAAGAAAGCAACGCTAAATGCTCTAAAATTGCACTGTTAAGATGAAACACTTGAGTAAACTGTCACTTTAGACTTAAGAGACAAATACATGTCATATCCCCAGGGTTGTCCTTAACATGACAAGGGCTCAGTTAATCTTTCTGTGAATGTTGTCATCCCTTGAGATCACTGTGCTGAGAGCCCCCACAAATGTGAGCTGTTAGGATCCCAGCCAGCACTTCTTAATTAAAGAAGCCCACAAGTCAACCAGGGAGTTGTTGAGTGATTGAGTTTTCATATTCAATCTCCTACACTTAGTGTTTTTAAAGTGGCTTTATAATTTACATGCTATATAATCTATCATTTCTAGAAAAGTTTGATGAGACTTAGTAAATTTATACACTAATGTAATCAAAAATTTAGTTCAGTGCCATCCCTCTGTCCTTACATTTGTTGAAGGGCCTATTTGTTTAACCTGATCCTTATTTATCTGCAATACACACCTGTAATCCTAGAGCTTTGAAAGTGGAGACAGGAGGACCAGCTTCATCTACTAGAGACCTTGTCTCAAACTTAAGAACAATGGCCAGATCCTATTCTCCAGATCAGCCACATTAGATAAGTCGTTGTTACTACAAAATACCCTTTGTTAGTTTCAAGTAAATCAGTGTTGGTGTGCATTGATTTGAACACAAATTTCCAGAAAAAGAAATGAAAACGTCAACAATAAATGTGAGTCCTTCCCAGGACTCATTAGCCTGGTCAACCTAGGCTAATGAGATCACGGTGG